AGTCGCCGGCTTGGTCGCTGGCAACTAACAAACTTTTAGTCGCCCAAAAACCAAGTCTGTAGCGGCTAAAATTTTCGTCGCCAAAGCTCATTTATATATTTTAAATTATACATTTGGCGACTAAATTTTTAGTCGCCAACAGTGAATTATTTTTTTTTTAATTTATACATTTGCCGACTATTTTTTTCGTCGCCAAAAGCTTATTTCAGAAGAAGAAAGAAAAAAAAAAAAAAATACTCTCTACTCTTCCCAAGTTTTGAACCACCATCCTTCCACATTCTAAATCTCTACCAACACACTCTCTCCACTATGCCACAATAACACCACATGAATATATATGCAAAATATATTATTTATATAGTAGATTGACCCGTATTTATATTAAACTATATATATAAACATAATTATTTTTGTTCAATATAATTTATGTAAAAAATAAATTATTTATTTTTAAAAAAAAAGAACCACTTTTGGCGACTAAAAAAAAATTAGTTTTGGCTACTACCAATAATTTAGTCGCTAAAAAAATTAATTTCCGCCTAAAAATAACCACTTTTGGCGACTAAACTAACTTTTAGTCGCCAAAGCCGCCACTTTTGCCGACTAAACTCAATTTTAGTCGCCAATTGTCCACTTTTAGCTACTAAATTTTTTTTAATAGCCAAAAACCTTTACTTTTGGCTACAAAAAAAATTTTTGTCGGTAAAACACCTACAATCGGCGACCAAACCATCTTTCAGTCGCCAAAACCTATGCTTTTGGCTACTAATTTCTTTTAGTCGCCAAAAACCTTCACTTTTGACTACTAAAATTGTTTTAGTCGCTAAAATCCATATAATCAGCGACTAAACTGATTTTTAGTCGCCAATAAGTATACATTTGGCTACTAAACTGTTTTAGTCGCCAAAAGTGTAATTCAATTTTAGTCGCCAATTATCCTACTTTCAGCGACGAAATGTACATTTTTGATCGCTAAAACTCCTTTTTGTTGTAGTGTATGTGGAAATGAAGTATGAAGTAGTAATCACCATCATGGGTTTTGTTAGGGTTTTGGGGGGAGAGGTTTTTTAGAGTATAGGAGTGTGCATTCAATTGAATGGGTAAAATGTTTCACAATAATAATTTTGGTATTATTTGAGGAGAAAAGAAATTTTAAGGGTTTTACAATTTATAAACGAGACTTCAAATAAATGGGAGATCCAAAATAATTGATGGGTGCTAATAGTAGCACTCTAAAATAAACGTATCAAATCAATTTTTTTTTATTAAATTTTTATTTAAATTTAATAAACATTTTGGTTTAGAGAAATTTAAATTTAGGGTAAATTACACTGACACTCCCTAAAATTTCTGTTTAATACACAATTTTCCTCACATTTGAAAAATTACACTTAACGTACTCTACGGATAAGAGAAACTCTGTTATAGCCATTTCTGTACATTCAACGTACTCTACGGATAGAGGAATACATAGAGTTGAACATAGTAAAATAAGAAATTGAAAGATTTCGTTGAAATTGTTCGTTTGGAAATTTCCCGAAAAGCTAATCATAGCTTCTTCTCTTCATCAGAACAATAGGGCCGTTATGCTCATTACTAAACTTGTTGAAGAGACGAAATATAACCAAGGTATATCTTTTTGATCAGAGGTTGAATCGATCAACAGAAGAAGAATTAGGCCAAAAATTAGGATACACTCTGGGAAAATAAAACTTCCATCGAAGAGAAGCAAATGAAAGGCTTTCATAAAAATTCTCGTAGAATCGAGAATGAAGTTTTCATTCTGTACATGCCAGATCATGAATTAGTAACTGCATCCAATTCCCAAAAAAATCCCAATTGTTTCGAACGTTCTATTTTTGGAATGGAATATTTACGAAATCTCCATGAATAGGATCAAACCTTATTCCATGGTATTTACATGAGGTTCCTCTTTCTTATTCTTAAGCAAGTCCCCGAGAGGGCTTAGTTGATCCATGATTTTTCTTTCATCTTTCGTTTCCTTTACGTTTGTTTCGAGAAATATATCGATCAATTCCGATTCTTTCTTTTTCTCTTGATTCTTTGCCGATCGAGATGTATGGATCCATGGATCTATGTGTCTATATATAGATCCTGTTTATGGATTAACGAAAATGTGCAAAAGCTCTATTTGCCTCTGCCATTCTATGAGTCTCTTCCTTTTTGCGTATGGCCTCGCCACTCCCTGGGTGTTTTGTTTTATAGTGAAATGTCACCATTAAACTATATCATTGTGTTTAAAAATTTTATATAAAGTTTACATTTATATATCATCACGCAATAAAAATATATTCAGATTGAATTTAGTGATTGAAAGTTGTACAATATAATCATGACGATAAGAATAAGAAATTGTAGGAAAAAAATAAAATAAATTTAAAAAAAAAATTAGGACATGACATTAGTAATTCAGGAAAAATTACCAATAGATCCTATTTTTGAGACTTATTACCTATTAAGTCCTATTGATTTATCAGTCTCTTTGTTTTTATGAATAAATTTATCAATTTCTTATTTTTATAGTAATAAATTTATTAATTAAGATCTATAGATAAATAAATCTAATTAATAAGAGTGATTGATAAGTGTTCCTAGAAAATAATTTATAATGAGATTATAAATTTGAAAAGGAAAATGATTTTCCCCCCGAATTTTGTCCCCCCGAATCCCCCGATTGCCCAAAACGACGTTGTTTTGGGCAGTTTCTTTTCTTTTTTTTCTTTTTTTCTTTTTCTTTATGCAGTTTGAAAATGGAGGGGAAGAGGGAGAGAAGAGAAAGAGGGAGAGAAGAGAGAAGAAGAGAGGAGAAGAGAAAGTGGAGAGAGAGAGAGGGCTCATCTGCTTTCGCCGATCGATCGTCCGGCCGATTGTCATAGCTCGTCGTCGCAGCTCGTCAACCGATCGTTGCAGCTCGTCACAGCCCCACATCCGCCCACCGTTGCTTCCGCCTGCCGTCGCCTTTGCCTCTGCCTCTTTCTTCTTCTTCTTTCTGTCTTCTTCTTCTTCTTTTTTGATTGAAAAAAAAAATCAAAATAACAAAATGATGTCATTTTGAATTTGAAGAATTCGAAGAAAGAACGTAGCATAATTGTTTTTAAAAGGAGAACGTAATATTTTAAATATAAAAGATGAATCAGTGTTAAAGTGATATCTCAAGTTGTCAGTGGAATTTATCCCTAAATTTATCGTGAATATGAGCTGGTAGATCATCATGCCCACATAGGCGTATAGACATGACATTCCCATGAACCAATCAATTGGCAGATTGGGTCCCACTCCCAACTCAAAACCCACATGGCCATCCGACATGATGTCGGGACCCACTCACGTGTACCTGCCTTCATGATCCAACGCTCCTCAATTCATTCTCATCCTGGACCGTCGATTCCCCCGGGCCACACGGTCTTCATTACGAGCGGTTGTTGATTGTCCCCTCCTTTGTCCCCTCCTTTGTCCCCTCACCACATCACAGCCTGACCCAAACCTGTTGCCCATGTGACCGACACCATAGCTGTCTATCCCACCTCCACGATTTCACTGCCACGCTCCTCCCTCACTCCTTCGCCACTTGTCAGCTAATCACCTGGTGTGTGCATTCAATTTAGATAGAAACTAGGTTTAAACCACTATTTACAGCCTTCGTATGACATGTTTTGATTGTTTAGTTATTTAAATTTATGGTTAAAAATTTTGTATGAAATAAATTTTTAATTTTTGTGAAAAAAAAAAAAATTATGATTTGAATGTGATATTTTTTAAATTTAGACTAAAAAATTTATTTTACTTTTTATAACTATTTTAGTCCTAACCCGCCCCAACCCATCATGCCAAACTAAGTGCACAATTTAATGCTTTTGGAATAAGTTAAATCATAAAATTTTAAAATTAAATTTGTAAAAGCATCTCCAGTAGTATATATTTTTTTTTAAATCAAATTTGAACAAAAGTTCTATTTTATATCAAGTGTTTCAATAAAAGTTTTCAAAGTTTTATCAAAACATCAATTGACCAGACGGTCGACCAGACAGATGTTCGGTCGATTAACTAGCCAGTATAATTTTTTAACAAGTTTTTGCAAAGAGTTGGTCATCCGGGGTTAAAAATCCAACGACTATGAACAATAATTTGATGAAAAACACATTCATTCTCAATATAATGAAAATTTTGAAAAATTCTGGATTTGATGAAAGATTTGGGGGGTGTTTTGAAGTAGGAAAAAGTGAGTTTTTTCATCAAATTTAAATTTGATGAAACATTTGGTATTGGGTTAGAGATAGTCTAAGACATATTTGGGTTCGATTTCAAAATTTTTAATAAATTATCAACATTCATAATATCATTACAAAATATTACTCACATTCTATTAAAAATTTAACAATGAGTCATTATTTTTCAAACAATAATTGTTTAAATATTTTTTAGTTTTTTTTCATCGATCAATAAAAAAATTGTTACAAATAGAAGAAATATTATATCAAACAGATTATTAGCCTAACAATAGTTAAAAGTTAATAATTTACAAATCCAAGCTCAAGTCCAAAATTCGAATTATTCGAGCAAACTTAAATTCAAACTACACAATCATTAAATCAAAAATCATGATTAGATGATTGTTCACGCAACCACTATCACTATAAAAGAAAACTTTTGTGTAAAATACACATAATACTAATCAGGTAATTATGTATTTCTAGTAAATAACAAATTATATATATATATATATATATAAACCATCCGATTTCATTTCGAACTAGTAAACGAATACAGTCTACTTATTTTAAGAATAAAAAAGAATCTATAGATTGAAAAAATCAAATCGTCAGTACAATTATAAATTTACAGTTTTTTTATAGTCAATCGTAAATTAAATTATCAATAAATCAATGATCATTCAAATAGCGCGTGGGAGAGAAGCGTGTGGGGTTAGCATTTGGCATGTATGAAACTCATGCACGGAGACAATGCGCTATAAAACTCTTCCGTCTCATAACCTTCTTCACAACACCCCCACTCAAATTTACAGCTCTCAATTGTGCCGGAAAATCAACGAACTCGCCGGAAATAAAGTTTTGTTAACAGATCTAGTAAAAAAATGGAAAGTCCGATGTGTTACGAGTCAGATCATCTGAATCTGAAGGCAACCGAGCTAAGATTAGGGTTACCTGGAACAGATGAGCCACAGAAACAATCGTCTCAGATTGTTCGGAGCAACAAACGAGGCTCGTCGGAGATCAATGATTCTGAAAATGGAGACCGAGATCGTGCCCCTCCGAGCAAGTAAGTTTTCGATCGATTTAGTGTATTAATTTTATGTTATTATTTGATGATTTTGTATTGATGAATTGTGAATGATGAAATTGCAGAGCACAAGTAGTAGGATGGCCACCGGTGCGATCTTACCGGAAAAATTGTTTCCAAGCGAAGAAAACTGAGGCGGATGGTTGTGGAATGTATGTGAAAGTGAGCATGGATGGAGCTCCTTATCTCAGAAAGATTGATCTCAAGGTTTACCAGACCTACCCTGAGCTACTCAAGGCCTTGGAATTCATGTTCAAGTGCACTATTGGTAACAACTTACTACCTCAATAAATACTCTCTTTTTTTTTTTTTTTTTAGTAACAATGGTATCAAGGTTTTGTCTCGATTCTTGATACATATTGATATTAATGATACGATCATATAAGTCGGTTGATATAAGTTAATATTATCAGTATTGAAAATTTGGAACCCATATCCAATAATTTCGATATTTACCCGCTGATATGCCTCGTCAATATTAAAACCCTACTCCTATTTGACACATATGCCTTGTAATGGCTCTAATGCGAAGGAAAATGAAAATAGAATGAAACATAAGTTAATTTTTTTTATTATTATTTCTTTGTTCTTTTGCTTTTTGGAAATCTCTCATCAAATTAATCTATTGTTTTTGGCTTGTGAAGGGTACAATGGATCTGAATATGCACCAACATATGAAGACAAAGATGGTGATTGGATGCTGGTTGGAGATGTCCCATGGGAGATGTTCATCACCTCTTGCAAAAGGATGAGAATCATGAGAGCATCAGAAGCTAAAGGCTTGGGATGTCTATAGAAAGAAAAGGAAACCCACAAAAAGCGCAACTACACACCTACTTTGAACTTTGGTGTCTCAAAGAAAACCCTTCTGCTTGGGTTCGCCATGATGTTTGTTTGGTAACCGAGAAGTTACAAGAAAAGGCACATAGTTAGGTCAGATCACACAAATATAGTACTAATATTTTATGGTTGGTTTTAAGCCTTTTGTGATTTTTAGTTTTGTAATAACAAACCCATCAAACTGATCCATTTGTAAAAAAGAAAAAAAATAATAATGTCTACATTTTTCCCCCAAGACTTCGCCATGTAATAATTTATATATATATAGATAGATAGATAGATATAGAGGATTGTATATAAAATTAAATTTTGTCTTATTTTTTCCCAGAATGTTTTGCTGGCCTTCTTTTCTAATACATCTCAAGGTTGTGTTTGAAGTTTAAATTTAGAAGAAAAAAATTTTAAGTAAAAAATGAACCAGATCCGAACGCAAACCTTCCTGGTACAAGTACATCTCAGCCAATTAATTGGGTGGCATGCATATCACAAGAACAACCAATCGTGCGGATTAAACAGAGAAAATTTTGTTAAGAATTTGTTAGATCTTGAATTTGTGAAAGACATTAATTGGGTGGCATGCATATCACAAGAACAACCAACCGTACGGATTAAACAGATAAAATTTTGTTAAGAATTTGTTAGATCTTGAATTTGTGAAAGAAAAAAAATGAAAAGGCAAAGTTCGAAGAAGTAAAAAAGTTTTTTCTTTCTCCCCCTTTTTTGATGGGGTCAAGAAAATAAGAATAAAATATAGGGAGAATTGCAGATAAATGAAAAGATGAAGTCACAAATTGAAACAGGAGTGAAATGATTCAAAACAAATTACAATAACATGAAAAGTATAAAATAAAATAAAAAATTACAATGGGATGAAAATTGTACATCTTTTAACTTTTGCTTTTCTCTCTCTCTCTCTTCCTTCTATGGAGAACACCAAACCATCACTTCCTTCCTCTCATTCTGCCACCATTATCCATGACCACTTCCATCATTGCCCACTACCTTCAACAAGAAAAGGGGTCATAATAACCCCATTGCTAGCCACAGTGCCTTTCCTCCTTGCAACCCCAGCTTCGCTCCTCTTCCTCATAGTGTTGATGGCATACCATGACAAATTGGTCTAGGTCTCTCTCTCTCTCTCTCATGGTTTAGTTTGAAGCAACAATAATGGTGTTTTGGGCGATGGTGGATTTGCGAGATGGTGGCATGCTGGAGTTCGTAATGATGGTAGTTGTGGAGTTGGTTACGTTGTGAATGATGGGCACAAGGGGAGCAGAAAGGGGCTGGGGATGTTGATTGGGAAAGGAATGGTTGGTAGGTGAAAGTTTTGGTGGTAGTGGTTGTGGTTGTGTGCTAAACGGAGTGAAGGGGTAAATAAGAGTCGACGAAAGGAGTCTAGGGTTGTTAGTTGGGCAAACAAGAACAGGCAGGGAGTGAGGGTTTTGGTGGCAGTCAACAGCAGTGTCAATCATGGTGGTTCTATTAGGTGTTGGTGGGTGATGATGGTTCTGGAGGGACGTGTGATGGTAGTTTTGCGAGGGAGGGGTTTATTTGAGCATTGACAGTAGCGGCGACGATGGGGATGACAGTAGACGGTAACGACGGTAAGGGAATATTAGATGAGGGCATTGTTCTAAAAACCAGCCTATGCACTACGTACTGGCCAGTTCTTATCCGAAAAATGGAGTACCACAACGGATACAGGCTAATATAACGCTGATATCGAAAATCACAGGAAAATTAGTCAAGTCCCGATACGTAGCGGCTTATTACCATTATACAAGTCGCGACGAGCCGATACTCACCAGTTCGGACTAGTACAAGAAAGAAAAATCTGAAAAACCTGTTAAATGATTTTTAAAATTTCACTGCCACGACACCTAATTCCCAATACGTACTGACCAATACTACTGATACCAATACTCTGCGATCGATACCGTTACGTTTCCCGATACAGTGATTTAGAACCATGGATGGGGGTTTAGTGATGGTGGGGAACTATATAATGTGGTAGGTGGTGACAACCAACCAACCAACCATCCAAGTTGCAAAGGAAAGAGAAAGGTTGAAGGAGAATGGGAGAGAAAGGGTCATTTTTGTCTTTTTGGTAAACGATTTTATGTATTTCTAATTAGTTTTGAACATTTGATGTATGTAGTAATTATGGAAAACTTTCAACTGACTTGGGGTTACTCTTTGTCCTTTTCTTTTTATTTATTTATTTTTTTTATTTTTGTAATTTACCCTAAAATGAATAATCACTACAGGAAAAAAGAGATATGACGACATTTTGTTTATGACATTTATAAAAACGCCGCTATTTTGCAATTAAAACAACGTTTCTAAAACGCTGTATTAGATTTCTTTTAAACATCATCTCCGCATGTTAACTGACTAACGCCGTTACCCACATCCTAAAGCCCTAAAGCTGCGATTTCTCTCTCTCTCCCTCTCTCTCTCTCTCTCTATATCGAGCTCGAATTCATTCTAAGCAAAATTTATTTGCAATTTGCGATAGTGCTGTAGTACTCAAATTCGTTCTGAACAAAATTGATTTGTGATTTGCAATTTGCGACTTCTCTCTATTTCTCGCTCCAGATTTGCGATTTGCTGTTGATTGTCGAAGATTTGAAGATTTGGAGATTTGAATATGAGCAATTAAAGTTCTCAATCTACTCCTTCAGATTTGTTCTCAGTCTACTCTCTCACTCGATTTTAGATCTGGCGATGATTTGAAGGCCACCACTTGGATTGTAGATTTTGAAGTTTGGTTCTCGATTTTATGAGTTTCAATTCGTTTAGCTGTTTCTTTTTTTTTTTATTTATTTATTTATTTTTTTTTGGTTGAAGAGTGTATACATTCATACACATATCTTACATCTCTATAACAAATATCTCTGATGGATAAACATGAGTTGATGTTGACTACTTTGATTCGTTTTATAACACATATCTCTGGTCAATGATTTTATGAAGATGGCTCCATGCATTTAAACTAGATAATTTTGTTAAACGTGTTGTTTCTTTTGCTTTGTATGGGTCCCCTGTTTAGTCTATGACCATTCGTTGTTCCTCAGATTACTGATTAACCTTTATGCTCAAGTTCTCCTTCAAATGTTGACTCTAATTCCCATTTTCATTGTCTTGATGTAGCATATTTGTGCCTCATTAAGAGAATTGAGATATCTCTGGTATTGTTTAGACTAAGATAATGGCATGAGGCGTTTGGATCTAATCCAGACCTGAATTGTGAACCCTGTACTCGACACCCTCAACTTAAATCTTCAGGTATGAAATTTTGGGACCTTGAATTGCTTCCGAAGATTGCTATAAAATGAAAATTGTAATGCCCTGATTATGGATAGAAAACTTATTAATTTCATATAGTCACTTGTGTGTTTACGTATATTATTGCTTAGCAGCATATTGTCATGTTTTATTTTATGGTAAATCTCCATGGGTATTTTCTTGCATAGAAGGTATGGATTGCATTGAAAAGAGCCATCTACCAAAGCTTTTCAAAGGTTGTGATGTTCAAGAACAGTGTTTGTGGTTGCTTCATGAAGTTTGTGACATCTATCAAAGCATTCCATTTATACACCAAACACATTGAATGAAATTTGTTTTCTTTTACTATCTATAAAGGTGTATACCTGTCATCTCAGAATAGTTCAATGTTAAATATTTTTATCCGATTTTCTCTGCACAAGTTCAAAACAACCAGATTATGAGTGGTTTCTATTGTTTCTGATCAATTGATATTTGAGGTTCCTTTAGGAAACTAAGTATACTCAACTCTACTTAACTTGGTTCCTTTAGGAAAATTGAAATTGATCTTGAGGATCAAATATTTTCTTCTCTGACACTTTAAGATCTTCTGGAAACACTGCCCGAGAAACCCCAAATTCAAGTGATCGACCAACAGACTTAACTTAAGTCCCTCAAATCCTTTTCTCATTTTTGATGCCTTTTGCGTGTTAAATCCCCGATGCCAAATCCACATTTGTTCATTCCAATTAACGCAGAAGGAGAAGATAATCTATAGTCCAAGTCATCCAACCTAAAAACAAAACAAATATATTAGATGCCATTTCCTGAAGCACTCAAAAAGGAACACATGCAATTAGGAATCAATAGTCCTTGATGTTTTCATCAATAGCAAGAGAGGAAATGAAAATTTTCACATAAAAATATGTAAATTGTCGAGCCTCTATCAAATATGCATTTACTAGCATTTTAATGGTTGTGAATGGTGAGACACCATTACAATTAATGGTAAGTGAAACAAATGAGCAAAATAGCAAGTCCATGTGAGCATCCATTCATATCCTCTGCCCAAAACCAGCATATTTTCCAAACTATTATATCTATCTACCACATCGTATACTATGCCACCCCACCAAATAGCGTTGGGGACTTTAAGAGATCTTTATACTATATGAAGAGTATTTTTCCATGATCATAATAAACTTAAAGAGTTGGAGAATAAACTTAAATAGTTGGAGAGAGCTGACCCTTGCTAGAGGTTCTTTTGAATTTTGTAGGCACCATGGAGTGTGAAGGTTCATAAGGAATAGTTTGAGGCGTCCAATTAGCCTCTTCAATCCTATACTTGCTGCACAACACTCTTCTCCATAGGGCATTTACCTCACTACCGAATTTCCACCACCATTTAAGAATCAAACTATCATTGACATCCTTGATTCTCCTAATCCCCAACCCACCTTGATTCCTATTTTTTGATACTTCAGCCCACTTCACCAAATGAACTTTCCTCTTTAAACCATTCCCTCCCCAAAGGAAAGAAGCTTCCAACCTTTCAATCTCTCTAACCACTCCTAGAGGCATTTTAAACAAAGATAGATAATAGATAGGAAGGCTAGATAAAACGGACTTAATCAAAGTTAATCTACCTGCAAAGGAGAGGAGCCTTCGCTTCCACCCAGACAGCCTAGATCTTACTTTATCCAACACTGGCTTCCAAGTAGACTTCCTACCTGGATCAGCACCTAATAGCAGCCCCAAAAATTTAAGTGGCAGGCCATGAACCTTGCAATTCAGAATATCTGCGAAAGATGCCAAAGTATCCTCCTCCACTCCAATTCCACACACCACACTCTTGTGAAAATTAATTCTCATGCCAGACAGGATTTCAAAACATCTTAAAATCCTCTTTATGAGCACAATTTGATCCATATCTGCTTCACAAAATATTATGGAATCATCAGCAAATTGAAGATGAGATATCATAACCTCATTTCACCAATTTTTACCCCTCTGAGAATGCCTTTTTCATTTGCCCTGTTCATTAAAATATTCAAACCTTCAAC